AAACCCCCCCTTTTTAAAAAAAAAAAAAAAAAAAAAAAAACATCTTTATTGAACACGTCTGCTCACAATGGAACGCTATCCGAGGAAGAGTCAAGTGGTGCATTCAAGTGCGCTCAGGTTGGTCGAGAACCGATTTTCCTGTCGTAATCCGAGGCATAAAAATGTCGAGGACAGAGACGTTCGAAAACCGAGGTTTGACTATACTTCAGAAAAGACTCGAGAATTCAAATGATTCATCCCGTGCGTGAAATTTGATTGCCCCCCCCCTCCCCACTCCACCGCGACAACATTCACACATCCCGCGTACACTCGTATTTACATAATGATGCAGCTCCGAGACAAAGAAAGCTATGTTGTTGTTTTATCTTTTTTTTTTAAAACACACACTTTATTCATTTGTTTCCCACTGAAGCAAATACAAACGGATCTGTTTGGACTACGCGCCTTCTCAACTGCGAGAGACGTTTAAGGGCAGCCTCTGAAAAAACGTAAATTAATGATTACTTCACTGACACTCAAAAAAAACGAAAATAATGCAGCAAATCAGGGTCGCCTCCGTCTTAAAACAACTTATATTTAAGGCTTTTTTTTCCCCCCCCCATTCATTTCAGAGCAACTTCACAATGCTCCCAATTTGGTCCAAAAGTTGCTGCGGTCTATAAATCGCATCTGCTGCGTATTTTTTTTTATTTTTATAAAGTTTTTTTGACTTTTGGACTACGCGCCTTCTCAACTGCGAGAGACGTTTAAGGGCAGCCTCTGAAAAAACGTAAATTAATGATTACTTCACTGACACTCAAAAAAAACGAAAATAATGCAGCAAATCAGGGTCGCCTCCATTTTAAAACAACTTATATTTAAGGCTTTTTTCCCCCCCCCCATTCATTTCAGAGCAACTTCACAATGCTCCCAATTTGGTCCAAAAGTTGCTGCGGTCTATAAATCGCATCTGCTGCGTATTTTTATTTTATTTTAATAACGTTTATTGACTTTGAGATTTGAGACTATTTCCAATCCTAAAATCCAACGTTTTCAAGGGTTAACACTTTTGAACAATTTCAAAAGATTGATTTCAGCTAATTGAAGGCCTGATTTTTACAGTCACTGATCGAATGCCTTTGGTGACTTGGGAAAGCAGAAATTAATATTTTTGAAGTTGGAAATATATTGTTGGACACGCGCGCACGCGCGCGCGCGCACACACACACACACACAATAATAATGTATTCTTTCTCCGAGTGTTTTTAGGTTTTTATTCATTTTTTTATTATTATTTTTTTTACCCTGAGAGAAGGGTTAATTAAAATCCCACTCTGGACAAGAGTACGCTATTCGTTTTGACTTTGGAAACCTGAACTTATGTTGTGACGTGAGCTTTATGTTGACATTAAAACCGGGCCACCCACAAAGTGTCATATTTCAAACACTCAACAGAAGCGATACAATATTGTCATTTTCTACATTAATTCTCTTTTTTTTAATAAAAAAAAAAGTCACACGGTTTTTTTAAAATCAAATATCCACAGTTTTTGTTTTTCGTCTAAGGTCACTTTTTTCCCTACACTGAAGTTTCAAAGGGTCACAAATTTGCATGTAGCCGATGTCGTTTTATTCATATAAAATCCGTGCACCTGAGAAAATGGCGAGTGCAAACGCTGCCACGTCCGCGCACGCAACAATTTGCAGAGTTGCTCACCTCAAGATTCGAAGAAGCGATCTCAGCATCTGGAAAGGCAACGCACCGACTGGGAGCTAGCTCAAGTACAGGTATGCGCTAGCTTAGCCTTCACAAGACGACCCCACCCCTTCTGAGGAGTCATCGCGGAAGTGACCGTCTGACCGGAGCTGATTGGTCGGATTTGCCTGTCAATCACGGTTAAAAGGCCGGATGTTCCACCTGTTTCAAGTCTCATTGAAATACAGTACTACAATGGGAAAAAGTATACAGTTTCACAATTTGGTCATTTATAAAGATCCCGCAAAATAATTCGGAGAAGTGTGTGAGTATTGTCTTTAGTTTACCTTCGTAACAAGCCGACACATAGGGAGCGTCGGTGCCGAAAGGTTCGTCTTGGCTGTCAAAATCTCTTGACTCTTTTTCAAGTGGTTAACATTCGTCGAAAATAAAATAACTTACTTTGAATCCATGGAGAATTTAATGGTTTGTAAAGTCTTGTCATTTTTTTTTTTTTTTCAGTTTTGAATGTCTGAGTCACCGAGTTGTCAGTGGTGATTGGTGACACTTGCCTGTCAATCATGACGAGTCTCAAATTTCAGACTGAAATATCTTGAACATTTTTTTTTTGGTTCTCACTTTAAAACAATACATCACAAGTAAAAAAATTCCCAGCGGTGTGAGTATTTCGAAAAGACAGAAGAACCCAACAACCAGTTCCTAAAAGCTTTTTGAAATCCCCTGAGGAAAATAAATTTCAGACTGAAATATGTTGAACATTTTTTTTTTGGGCGGGGGGGGGGGGTTTCTCACTTTAAAACAATACATCACAAGTAAAAAAAAAACATTTTGTGGTTAAGCTTGATGGTTTTATTATTATTTTGTTGCTGACGAGTGTTTTCTACCAACGCCAGATTGCGATGACTGACAGCTTTGAAAGGTCTGTGGAGAACAAACGCATGCGCTCGCACGTGGACATGAAAAGCGCAGGTGAGGGCGGGACACGCGGGGGAATGTCCGGGGGTCGGTCTTCACAGCCGGGAGCGGCCGTGGCTAGCGGGGGCGACAGGGCTCAGTCACTGGGACAGGAAATCCAGGGCGGTGTCTCGCTCCTCCACCAGCTCGGCGGCCGTGGCGTCCATCTTGGCCCGGGAGAAGTCGTTGATGCTGAGGCCGTCCACCACCTTCCAGCTCTGGTTCTGGAAAACATGTGACAAGTTGCAAAATATAGAGAAAAGTTTGAATATTTTATGTTTTTTTTTTTTGAGAAGTTGCATCAGACCACAGGTGTCAAACTCAGGGCCCGGGGGCCAGTTCCGGCCCACCAGGTCCTTTTATGTGGCCCGCGAAAGTAAATCATGTGTGTCAACTTGCTAAAATCTGGACCGAAATATCAACTTGTCACGTGTGATACATAACGTTGTGATTTTGCAATAATTTTGTGAGCCTGTTTATGCCCATTTGGACAATAATTGAACACACTATTATAATTGACTTGTTTTATTTCAAAACTAGTAATCTATTAATTCGTTGTGTACAAGTGATAATTTTTATGGTTTCACTGTCATAACAGCCCTCTGAGGGAAGGTGTAACTCCAAATTGGCCCGCGACGAAAATGAGTTTGACACCCCCTGCATCAGACTCTCTTGCACCCTCCCCCATGAAAAAACGTAATTGACGCTTTGAGACGTCAAAGGGTTGGAATGAGTTTTTTTAAAGGATTTCAATTCTACAATTCCCAAAAAAAAAAAAAAAAGGTGAAATTCATATATTATTACACAGAATGGAATTTTACCCGTGTTCGTGGTTCAATATTGACAAATTGAAAATTGATCCTCCATTCTTCACTGGAAAAAAAAAACCCCGCAAACAATTTTGGGTTTTTTTTTTTTTTTTGCCCACGCACACCGTAGCAATCCGTACAAAACTTTGGCGCCATTTTGTGGCAACTCGGTGGGTGTCACAGAATGACGTGGGATTTCTTTGTACAAACGGTGGTGCGCTTTGCTGCCAGCTTGTGACACCTCGGCATCGGTGAACTAGGTTGGAGTGAGTTGGCGAGGCTCTGGTTTCTTCAACAGGAGAGTGTGTGTTGAAAATTTGTTGGAAAAAAAAAAAAAAAACACTTTTTTTTTTTTTAAATCGTTGCTTTAAAAGGGGATCCTATTATCATGGGATAACTTGTGTTTCTGTACTGACTTTGATCTGGACGGGGAAGGAGTAGATGAGGTCTTCTGGGATGCCGTAAGAGTTTCCTCCGGCATACACCCCCATGGACACAAATTCACCCTGAACAGACCCCCCCAAAAAAAAAAGAAGCATCATGAACAAACTGCAGAAGAAGAAGAAGAAGAAGACGACCCGTTCTGACCTCCTTGGTGCCGAACCAGAGGTCCCTCATGTGGTCGCAGATGGCCTTGGCGGCCGACATGGCGCTGGATAGCTTTCTGGCCTTGATGACGGCGGCGCCGCGCTGCTGCACCGTCTGCGCCCAAGCAATGACGACAAACAAGTTGAGAAAACTCGCCGTAATCCGGAGAGCACGTGGTGAAAACCTTTCGGTGCCGCGACGCCGGTATGACTCACCGATACTGACAACCGATACCTCGCGTACTTTTGATATGATTCTGAAATTTCATTGAACACACAACGACAAACAACCTTTGCGTCTGACGCGGACGATGATTCGCCGATGTGTCACGGCGCCGCGGCGTAGCGCCATCTACTGCCAAGGAGGACTCGATAATCAGATTTTTATTTTTTATTTTTATTTGCCTCAAGTATCAGCAAACTCCACGATAAAAGAAAACGAAGTTATTATTCATTTTAATGAATAAAATGAATTAATCCTTAAAATAAAAGTCGGATAGGCCCGATACCGCCGCCTGGTATCGGTACTCGCCCATCCCATATCGATAGTAATATGAATCATAATGACATTTAAAAACAAAAATTGTCAGGTCAGTAATGTCATTCAAGATATTGAAATAACATATTTTAAAAGACCATTTTAAATACCAATGTGTCATATGTGAGGATGAAGTCATTTTTAATTATTAATTATTATTATTATTATTATTATTACTATATTAATTATTTTTAATTCATTATTAATTTTTTTTTTTTTTTTTGGGCTCACCGAGATGAAGGCTCCCCTGAGCCAAGCGTCGTCCTTGACGCAGTCGTACGCGGCCGCCTCGGCGCCGCGCACGTTGACCTTGGCGTGGTGAACGTCCGGGTACTGCGTGGAAGAGTGGTTGCCCCAGATGATAACGTTCTTGACCTTGTCCGAGGACACGCCGCAGCGCAGCGCCACCTGCGGTCAAAGGAGGAGGAGGAGTCAGCACGCTTCGCTTCGCCTCGCGCGGTTTGGCTGTTAGCGTTAGCACACCTGCGAGGAGGCACGGTTGTGGTCCAGCCGGGTCAAGCAGGAGAAGTTTTCCTTGGGGATGGACGGGGCCGACTTGGAGGCGATCAGGCAGTTGGTGTTGGCCGGGTTGCCCACCACCAGAACCTCGACAGAGAAGCAACACGATGAGGGTCCGAGCGCCGGCCGAGTCGCTGTCATTGCTTCGTAGCGGCCGGCCGGCCGGCCGGCTTTGCAATACGATTTGGCCCTCCGCTCTCTGAACAGGAAGTCGGCCATTTTGGAAAACTTTACCAGCGGGTCAAGGTCACGTGATCTGCAGGGGCAGCGGCTTTGACCTCCTTGCAACTCCTCCCACACACACCCCCCCCCCTCGGCGACACGCCGTTCACAAGACGCCGTTCACGTCTTGCGCTCACCTTGACCGTCTTCTTGGCAAACTTGTCCAGGGCGGCGCCCTGCGTCTTGAAGATGGCCACGTTGGCCTTGAGCAGGTCCTTCCTCTCCATGCCCTCCTTCCTGGGCATGGAGCCCACCAGGATGGCGGCATCGATGTCCTTGAAGCCCACCTCCACCTTGTCGGTGGGGATCACCTCTGAAATGTCGGCCCCCAATCAAAGTTTTGTGATGAGTGACGTGTTTTTTTTTTCTTCCCGAAGAGGCTAACGCTATTGTCCAATTTCATATGGGCTTCTTACTGGTTGTCGAGCAAGGAGGGAATGAAAAATTTGTTTTGGAACACCTACGCGCGCGGCGGTGACGGAGGTGACATCATCAACATTGTTGAAAGATGACCAAAATCAATCAAAACTTCAAAGATTTTAAAACGGTGGAGCAGCACATGTAGACAAACAGAACAATCCTCCCAAGGATACGCTTCATCCTTGACGGAAAATGACTCGCGTTATGGCAACGTACTGCGTCGTCGTGACACCTGTAGTTTGTCGTAATGCTTGCAGCGCGCGATTAGGACGTCGCGAGCTAAACGCGTAACGTCGGGTGACGACCGTGACGCAAAAAGCGTCCGCCTCCGAAGATCGGAGGACAAAACAAGATTCGAGAAGCTTCCCCCGAAGGTTGATGATAACAAAGCGTGCCGTCGTCATTATCGAGGCGGACTTCGGTCGCGGTTCACCGCCCCCCACTCAGCGATCCCCGCTGCCATTGGCCGGCTTCTGAGCGCGCCTCCCCGACCACCCGCCTAGCCGGGTCAACGCACTCAACCGCTAACGACGACGGCTCACCCCTCAGCAGCGGGAGGGCGCAGTCCTGAAGCTCCATCACCACGCCGTCCAGCACCGGCAGCATGGGCGGGATGTCCAGCAACACCAGCACCAAGGGCTGACGCACACAACACAAGCGTGACCTTTTGAACTCTCTCCAAAAGCTCAAAGGGCTTCACGTGCCCACGGTTGACAAATATTAACGAGCTTAACGCTCCCGAGGAGAGGAAAAAAAAAAAAAAAAGAAGGGTTTCAAGTTGCCTCTACACGCCACAAAGATGGCGCCACGGCACAACTTTGTTGAAATGAAGCTCCTCAACTCACTGACCTATTACTGATCACATACTAGCATGCAACACACAAACACAAGCGTGACCTTTTGAACTCTCTCCAAGCTCAAAGGGCTTCACGTGCCCACAGTTGACAAATATTAACGAGCTTAACGCTCCCGAGGAGAGGGAAAAAAAAAAAAAAGAAGGGTTTCAAGTTGCCTCTACACGCCACAAAGATGGCGCCACGGCACAACTTTGTTGAAATGAAGCTCCTCAACTCACTGACCTATTACTGATCACATACTAGCATGCAACAGCAATCTCTTTTTTTTTTTTTCTTGTTTCTTGTTTAGAACTGGACCTCCAACGAACAATTTTACTCCAAGAATGGATGAATCCTTTATTATTATTAATCGAATCACATTTTTAAAAAAAAATCTTCCTTTTACCCAAACAGGACGTTATTCGAAAACAGAGCTTTTCTTTTTTTTTTTTTTTTCTA